CAATTATAAATTCTAAATCTAGGAAACTGTTCAAGGGTATTTGTCTGTGCTAGATTTTCAGAAGTCTTTGAAGAATTATCAAGAACTTAAAAAAAATCAAATGATATCTTAGGACAATTTTAAATGAATTCTTGGAATGACACCAATACATTTCAGAGAAGAATACCAAAGTACAGACTACAAAAGTCTCATGTAAAATTATGTGCTCTGAGGGTCGATTTCTTCACCTCTGCTGACATCTTAAGCCAGGTTTATATATGGATAAACCTGGTTTAAGATTTCAGCGGAGGTGAAGAAACCTGGTTGAAGGCTTAAGCGACTGCTACATACGAGCGTTGCTTTTGATTATTGTTTCAATCTAGACCAACAATTGAAATAGGCGGAACAACCAAACATAAACAATGGTTTTAAACACAAAATTCTCGAGAATCAAAACACTCCCACACAAACTAACAATGCCATTCGATAAACGAAATTTACTCTATCAGATGATGATGTTAGATTTCTTGGATGTGATTTGATTCTCGAGGAATATGCGTTTAAAGCCATTGTTTACGTTTGGTTGTTCCGCCTATTTCAATGGTTGGTCTATAAATTATTAAAGATGCAAAATTCAGCTCCGAAATAATTCTTTATCCAATATATTTGAGAGAATTCTATGATGATTGGATGAGGATTCTATGTCCAATTCTAATAAGAATTTAAAACTAGTTCGGAAATTTTTTAAGAGAACTTTGATGAGAATTCCAAGTGAATCCCGCGAACTTCAAAGATGATCTCTGAGGATAGCTATAAAAGAATTCTGGAATGATTTCTGAGGATACTTTCAAGAGAACTCTTAAGAGTTCGAAATAAATTCCGAGAAGAATTCCAATGGAATCGGCTTTTGAGGGTTGAATCTCAAAAGAATTCTTCGAAGAGTATCAAGGGTATTCTGAGATGGATTTTTGTTTTGAGAATTCTGAGGAAATACCATGGAAATTCTGAGGAGAATACGAATTGAATTTCCAATAGAATTCAGCGGAGAAGTCCAAGATTATTCTAAGCAGCAATTTATGTAACGCTCTACCAGTAACATTACAAAAAAGTCCGGGAAAATCTGGAAATTGCTATTTGCTGGCCATCATGTATAAACGTAATCAAAGGGAAATTATTCAAACCACTTCAAGCGCTCTTCATAGGAGATTTCGTTGAGAGTTTCGCTATAATTAGAGGAAGTGATGAAATGTGATTTTAAGTTTCCTGACAAAAAAAATTTATTCCAATATTAAACCTTATTTGAGTTTCTGAGTCATCATATAAATTTCACTATTGGTTACTTATTTATTATTTAAAAGTCACTATTTGGTTTCGTAATTTTAGTCACTAAAGTCACTACTATTATATCGCATCAGCACTACCAGCCCTGTCTATGAACATAAACAATATTTTTGATTTGAAATATACAATATAAAAAAGTCATAACGGGGGTGGTCACTACCCGAGTCTTGTCACTATTAACAAGGCATTAAAAGTAATAAGGGCCAACATGTGTTCCCTTGATTACTGAAAAATCCTGTTCCCCTAGTTTGAAGTTGTTAGGACTAGGGTTCAGCGATAGGTCTTATACCAGTAACGTGAAAAGATAAAAATTGGCAAAAAGGAACTAACTCACCATATTTAGCCAATTGGAACTAAAGGTAGCTTGACATGTGTTGTTGTAGAAGTCCAAATTGTAGACGGTCCGCTTGACGAAGACCAAGATGAACTAGTCTGGTTTGTGGTAGAGCTTGCACGGAATGTCTTCCCTCGATTTGAGATAAAAGATTTTCGGATATAAAGTCTGTTCCAGTTAGTATTTGGCCGCTTCTTTTTAATTACTGTAGCGCCTCTAGTTGTCGTAGCAAGAAACTATTGACAGCGTTTTGATCCAGAAGGATTGTTTATTTAGTAATGAAAATTTGAGCAGGATTCATATACTTGTTCAAAAGTTATCTAAGATGGAACGTGACAGACGTGAAAAAAATCTGCACACTCACATTTCGATGGACGATGAAACTTAAGTAAAAATGGACTTTGGACAGGTTGACAGTACTACTGTGCAAGACATGATGGGAGGTATTCCGCGAAAACTTCGAAAATTCATCCGAAAAGCTGATGAATATTTTTTGTTGTATTTTTCACTTAAAGCTAAATAAAGCTTAAAAATAAATCCTACAAAATGATACCTTTAGCGTTTTTGTACTTTATTTCCCCTTGGAGAAATTACCTATTTTGTGCGGCCAAATTCTAAATGGAACAGACTTTAGTCGAATTTTGATGTGCATTGGCAAGCCTTTTCGCGGAAAATAGCAAGGTTCAGCACTGCGACTCAACGAGGAGACGCATGATGGGACGAACTGAACTGACGATGAAGTTAACTCGCTGAGGAACTAGAAATCGTATCCTGGGTCTGGTTTTGACCAGATCAGCAAGTGATTATAGGAACAAAAACACAAAGGTCATACCTACTCTCATTTTCCCAATATTTTTAGGAAAAAATCAAAACTTGCCTGAATGATGTTTTTTATGGGTGGTGAGTATCACTTTAAGAAGATTTTGAAGTCTCTTGAAGATAACGTGCATGGGGAATTTGAAATAAAAACAGTTGCAGGCTAAAGATGGTTTTCAGAGGCCACCCATCGACAAAATTAAATAAAATCTTCTAGTATTTTTGTTTTATTATTTAGATGTTCGGTGTCTCCGGTTAATTTTTCGTGCCTAAAATGTCCCTTCTTGTGGTGGTTTTAACCTTTTCAGACTGTTGAGAGATGTCAACGCGTCGTCCATTTATTAAATTCTAAAGCATCGTGTTTAAATCATTAATTCAAACAGGCCCCATGTTTCTGAATTATCTTGCCCCTTAAATGTAGAACGGTTACCGTTTTGATATGATTTCTGATGTGTAACATATACCAAATAGACAAGAAAGATGATGGAGATGCATCCATCATTTACCAGGATGCTGGGTTGGTCTTAAATTAGATTACATTAGATTAAAAAGTCCCTTCCTGTGGTGGTTTTAAACTTTAGGGTGGTCCTCAAATTAATTGTTATTCAAAGACTACCTTCATATTTTTGAAAACAAAGACATATTTTAGCTGAGTTCATTTAAAGCAAATTTGTAGAAAACACATTCTATCTCTTAACGTTCTCGTTTAAGAATTATTCTACGGAATTGACTTAGAGTATTCCTGAAAAATTTCTCATGAAAGTCTACTTCGAGATACTTTTGAAGCTTCTTAAGACGTTTCCATTTTTGGAAATCAAATTAATATATATTATCCTGCTTCGATAAAAATTTGGCACAGTTGTTGGCAACAATGATACAGATCAAAAGAGCCTACGTTGTAAAATTGACCCACCCTAATATCCATATAGTTGAAATCGCCATCACAGGCAGAACGTGCTCTGATTTTTGATGCCAAGCTGGGAAATGTATCCCCCATTCATCAAAGCGAATCAGGTAATTTTCCAAGCTGCCACTGGATATATCGTCCATCACTTTACCTCACACACACACACACACACACACACACACACACATCTTTCCAAACAGGAAAATCCCCCGAAAATGAACTTTGTCAAAGTGGGAATTCAGCTGGACAGCTGTTGTCACACACTTTGTGACTGTTTGCCGTCAAATTTCTTGAAGACCACCGCGCCAACGGAAGTAGTCAAACTCGAATAAAAATGCAAAATAGGCATCTACTTGCTTTCGGTGCTCCCAAAACATGCATACAGAAACGAATCGGAACGAAATCGCTGAATATTCATCAAAGACAGGTACCTACCACCCAGACCAGACCGCCAGGCGAATGAACTTTCTTGGCTTCGATCTGCACGGTTTGGGAAAATGCTCCCGGAAGGCAATTTTTCTTTTGTTGCCATCGCCGCCCCCAATGTTCATCAATGTTGTAATATGTGCGAAGAAGGAGTATTGTAATCGTCGTTCGGTGTGTGAAATGTGAACACAGAAATCATCCAACTAGGTGGATTGATCCGATTCGAGTTTTTTTTCCCTTGAATTGATGGCAACTCGTCACAAGCAGATCCGGCGATAAGTTACACTTGGATATTAAATTTACTCCTCAGTTCCGCGCGCCTAAGGAGATTTACGGAGCCCGAAGAAAAGCTAGCGGTAATCTATTCTAACGTATGCTAATCATCATCGTCGTCGTTGGTTTTTTTCTTCTTCATTCAGTTGACTGCGGTGCGTGGCCGTCGTTACCAGCGCCATCGACCGTGCATGATGATCTGCATTTCCCAAAACGAATTTCTCCTGCCGTACTTTGCATTTAGATCAACGTGAATGTGAATTTCAATAAAAGAGTGAGATTTTTCTTTTGGCACGAATAAAAAAGAAGTCGGTTTATGTAACTCTTTTGAGAAGAAGTTTCGTATCTGGATTTCGCTGGGATTAAAATTTTAGATTGATGATTAAAAATGTTGAAGTAGATAATCCAAAAAAATCTATATTTTGTGCAAATCCGGAAATTTAAGATAAAGATAACCAATATTGAATTGTACTTGAAATAATAATTTCATTACTTCAAAGCAACATAACCGAGTCGTGTGCAAATATCCTACCAGATAATTTATGAATGAATAGCCCAAGCTACCAATTCGGTAGCAGGAACTGCTTCGTCTGGGAATGCACAACCTATCTCTATCACGTCATTCGATTATATTTCTTCGTTTACTGTCTACCCTTCAGTGACAGTAAACCGACATGTCGGCTGTGTATTCCGACAATAAATGTATTATCGACAGTCCGAGCGGTCCGTTGCAGTGTTGATCTGCCAAATACATAGTTGAAACAGGTATTCGCAGAAGTGGTCATGTTTTCAGATCCGATTATCAATTTATGGAAGTCACGGGACCAATTGGTTTCCGATTATCTATAGTCTTGTCTTATTGTCGAATTGGGATATATAATAAGATAGATGCACTTAGAAGAATGTAGTCAGTTAACGACGAGAATTCGTAGAAGAAAGGTTAAGTCACCATCGAAAACATGAAAACAGTCGTTGTAGTGTTCGCCCTGCTGCTAGCAGCAGTCTCCGCTCGACCGGACTGCCATGAAAACAACAACCGTTGCAGTGGTTTGAAAGATGGAACCAGGTTTCCGAACATGGACGACTGCCACAAGTACGTGGAGTGTTCCAACGAAAAGGAATCCCAGAAAAGTTGCAAGGAGCACGACAAATTCGACGCTGTATCCTTGAAGTGTAGCGACAAGTCCGGAGTAAGCTGCTTCCAAGTTCCAACTACGACAACTACCACGACGGAGAAGACCACCACCACCAAGAAACCGACCACCACCACCACCAAGAAACCGACCACCACCACCACCACCAAGCATACCACTACAAAGAAGCCAACGACGACTACCACCAAGCATACAACCACGAAGAAGCCGACCACTACGACCACTCAGAAGCCCATGACGACCACCACAAAACATACGACGACAAAGAAGCCGACCACTTCCACTGCCGCCAGCCCTATCACAACACCCGTACCAACGTGCAACACCCGGTATGAACTGAATTGCGCCATGTACTGGAGCTGCGGAACGGGACAACCGACTCTCGAGTCCTGCTTGGATGGCTACATCTTCTACGAACCGCTGCACTTTTGCCTTCCGGGCGATATCGAAACTTGCGAAATCTACCATATCTAAATAACTCACCCAAAAAATATTTGTAAAATAAAATCATGCAACAAGCTTTGTTCTTCTACGTGACATCCATTCCATCCGGTGGCCTCTGTTTCCACTTATCGATACGTACGTGACCTCAACCAAACGGTATAACCTGGACAGTTGAACGCCTATTTCAAAACAGTAAAGTTGACCGCACATTTTCGGAAACTTCGCAAACATGTGGATCGTGTTTCTTGTTGTGGTACCCATTGCTTGGCTCCAGGCAGCTCCAGCAAAGCTGATGATCCCGGACCTTGGCCAAATCGTCAACAGAGGCAACGAAAAGTGGTGTCTAGTTCGATGTGTAGAATTCAGTTCATCCGAAGATCAACGGGACGCCTGCGACTGTGGCTGTAGGTCGCTGGAAGCGCTTTACAAGCCGGACGTCTTTCGGCCCAACGATGGATGCGGAGCCATCGGATGCGGTCAGCTGCTTGCAGACGCTCCAACAGCGACACCGTGTTGTCGTAGTCGGAATCCGGAAGTAGTCTGCCAATCGGAGGTTGTCTATCGTCCATTGTCGTCTTCGTCGTTGACGACCAGAGCACCGACTAAGAGGGCACGAGTTCGAGCGGAGATAGTTTACCATCCGAGAAAGAGCGAACCGAACGTTGTGATACGATGTCATCCGAAGATCTCCTTAGCGAGGTATGCTCCGTACGTAGACTGCCTTCCTGACGTTGATTATTAGACTGCTTTGCCAGGTGTTTGTGTTGATAGATGTGTAATAAATTGATTACTGTTATTGTTGGCGCAATATTATTCTCCTTGGAACTGACCATCATATCTATAGGGGGGTCTTCTTATCTGTCTGCGGGGTATAAAACACCAATGGTGGAGAAGATACGATTTATTATTACAGAGAAATGACTGTCTGTTGCAGGGAAACACGGGTGTAGTGAGGGTTTAGTGCGTCATTGGCAATCGTTTTATATGGTGACCCTTTCATAATTGAAAAAAAAATCATACACAAGTTTTTTTTTTAAATCTAGTTCGATTATTTGGAAGGCTCAATTGCTTTAGCTTTACGGAGCCGATAATTTATGTCTAGTCGGAGTTGGGCCCCGAGTGGTTGAGTGGTAAGCGTGACCGTGATATTAGTTTTTTTCTAATTCTAAGGCTTCATTCTACACAATTTTTGCCTGATTTTTCGATAGTTTAAAATTAAAAGTAACCCAAATAAATTATTGAAAGAGTGATACATTTTCTATAAGAATTGGCCAAGAGTTTATAATTTGAGTGACTACAAATTATTTGGTGAGCGTCTATATTGTGTGACGTTACAACGTTTTGCACTTCCCAACGACAATACACAACAACTATTCACCAAAACGTTTTGAGCTACTCAAATCAGAAGCTCTTGATCAATTCTTATAGGAAATTTAACGCACTTTTCAAATCTTTAATATGGATTACTGTTAATTTTTGACAGTTACAGTTTACAGCTGTCAACAAATAAGCAAAAACCATTGTAACGTCACATAGACTGTGTAAAAATGCATTTTTCAAAAAAAAAACTGTTCTTCAGAACCGCCGTAACTAAATATCGAAAAAAAAGTTCATTGGATGATGAGATAGAATTTTGATTTCTTGAGCAAAGTTGCTTCAAATTAAATTATATATAATGTACAAGCAAGTATTTCTTTGTGTTTTTAAAATTATAAGTTATACGCCAAAAGGAAGATCTTTTTTTGTACACGGGATCAAATCCGATTCCATTTTCATGCATAAATTATCATAAAATGAAAAAACTTGCCATCCCATGAAATCATAAGAATTGTCCATGATTTCGTGATGGAAATTTATGATTTCATAATGCAGCGGAATCATGATCAATAAAAGCGTTACACGTACCTGGAACACTGTGTTCATAAAGCTCACTACATAGGTATCTCTTATACGCCTTTTGCCTACCATCTTTTATAAGTACTGATAGTCTAGTGGTCAAAGTATGGGTTTAATGATTCAGCGAGAGAACCGGGAAAAATAAATTAACCATACCATAGGAGCAAATTTTTACACAATAATTTCAGAATAAACCATTAAAACAGAGTGATCCTTTACCAAATGAATGTCTTGCTCTATTTGCTGCAAAGTTATCTTCATTTTCCCGTCTTATTGTTTTTAGAATTGAATCACTCAGCAGTATTGCAAATTGATTTTTGTTGTCTCAATTTCAGATGTAAAGTGCATGGTTCTTAAAAAAAAATATTGAAGATGCTGGACTTTGGAAGCAAATATTTGTAAAACCGAAACTGAATTATTCTTTTTCGGGGTTTTAATTTTTCGTTGATCGAAATTCTCATGATATCAATTCCAGAATTAACTTAGAATTCTGTTCTGAATTATCTTGAAATTGTTCTGAAATAAACCAAAAAACACTCCGCGTCATAATTACCGTTGAAATCTTTTTGGAATTTCCTCGCAACCCCTTATAAGAATTTATTTGGAATCCTTCTTAGAATTCCCTTGAACCTATCCGGAGACTTTTATTTCTTTATAAATCTTTTCAAAATTTTCTTTTAACTCTATTTAAAACAGCAGTAATCTTTCGAAAATTTATTAAGAAACCGCTTGGAGTATTCTAAAGAATTTCTCTCTAATTACCAGCAAATCCTTTGCAATCAATTTTGTAGGAGCTCTGTGATGAATCTTTCGCACTAGGGTTGCATTCTTCTCCACAGAAATCCTTCCAAATTCGTCTAACAATTTCTAAGGATTTCAGAATAATTCTGGAAATCTGCTCAGAACTTCTCCTTCTAAAACTGTGTGGGAATCCTTCTCAATATTTGTTTGAAAGCAACACTTTAAATTCTTTTAAATTTTACTATAAATTCCAGGGTTTTCCCGCTAGATTCTATAGATTGTTATGTAATGTTTTACAACCCTTATAATGCTTCCAAGTCTCAGAGCGTGACAATTATGACTCCACGACTCATAAGTAGGTTTTTTTTTTCAAATCTGTGATCTTGAAATTTGTTAAAAATCTCACATTTTAATTAATTTTACTCCAAATCTTGCATGACGAAGATTGTTATTAATCGCAAATTTAAAATAAAAGTTCTAGTTTCAGACTCTACACAAATTTAAAAGCTCCAGAATCTTGGGAATCTTCTTAAATCACTTTTTTTTTTATCTTTTCAGTAAATTCCTTTCAGCACGTTCTTAAAAATGCGTTCAATTTCATTTTTCTTTAATATTAACATCCGGGAATTTTTTAAGATTTAAACCGGGAAAACCGGGAAAAAACCGGGAATTTCAAAATGAAAATTCACTGGTCACCCTGTATAATTCACTAGGGGGCAATGAACCAAGTTTTTGTCGGAATTTGTTCATTTTGACTCTCGCCTAATTTTTCAAAATGACACAATTGATATTTTTCAATAAACGATAGCATGAAAATGGCTTATCGAATCGTAAAAACGACTGAGACAAAGTTGTCCAAAAGGAAAAATAAAAGCTGTTAAAAACTTCAATAACAAAAGCACATTTTTTAGATTTGAGCAGTTGCACGCCAAATGCCAAATCGAAAAAAAAAACTTAATTGTTTGTTGGTACAATTGAAAATTGTTTGTTAAGGGCAATGATCTTCATTTTTGCAGAAATTCAACGATTTTAGATCTTGTAAAATTTTCAAAATGGTGGTCTTGAAATTTTTCAAAAAAAATTTGCATCGAAACGGTAAAAGTACCGAAAAGATGTCTGAGATAAAGTTGTAGAGAAAAAATAATGTTTTTCTGGAAAAAATATTCAAACTAAATGGTGTTTGTAATTTGAGCATGAGCATGAGTATAATTGACCGCCCACGGTTGCTACTCTGTTATTGCCAGATCAGCTGTAATTACACAGAGCACTAAAAGACGTTTGCTTAACAATCATCCTCAATGTGTAAAAACTGGTGATCTCAAACTAGGCAATAACAGAGCCGGCCGCACCCGAACACAGTTCCAGAAATTAATGGGTAGGAACGTGTTGATGTGACACTCGCTTTGATGGAAGCCGAGAACACCTCTGCACTTCTACGAGGAATCACTGGGATGCTGGATAAAAGGGTTGGATTTGCAGCAGGGTTAGTTTTGGTAAACGATAAGCAGCATTGATGTCCTAACGATCATATAACGCGAAGGAGCTTGGTATTGAAACCACGGTCTTTTGCTCAGTAAGCAAAAACGTTTGCCACTAGGCAAACGAGCTCCTTTTTAACCAGCGAGTTGCTGGTATTACCATGTAGTCATATTAATAAAAAAAAAAACGATTTACGAATCTTGTAAGTGGATGGGCTTCAGATTAGACTCATGATTTTCTGCTCAGTAAGCAAAAACGGTCGCTCTCAGGCCACCGAGCCCCTCATATCACATCATACCGTTACTCGAGTTGTTGTAACCATTCATTCCCAGCACCGACGACGACGAAGTTTCACAAAATACACGATAAACAAGCGATTTTACCATAAATCTTTTTAATATGAAGATACTTGAGACCACGTTTTTCTGCTCAGTAAGCGTGCTACAGCAACGGACGATCTTTCAAATTCGAAAACTAATACTTAGGTCTTCATTAAGTTTCAGTTTCAAGCGACGTTCAATGTTTCGATTTGCTCTTTACGCTTTGTTCAGGCTATCATAACAAGCTATGACCGACGTGACGATTGTTTAAACAAGCTATTCAAATGAAATTACGTTTTCGAAACTAGTCAATAATATATCCCAAACTTAATCGAGCGTGCGCCCTGTTTCTCTACACATTCCAAAATATTCCGCCCATGATCTAACAGTTACGATTTTCTACAATAGTAGCCTGGGTAAGTGCTGCACAATTTCGACAATACACGGTGATACACAAAATTCTGCTTTGGTCACTCGTTTGAGCTAACAGTCATCGTCAAGGCAAACCATGTCAATTGTCAGTGGCATTTTTGTCAGTGACGAACATGTGCTGTTTTGTTTATTAGCTAAATTTAAAATGAAATTAAATGGCTTGAGGAAAACAATTAC